TTATTCCATGCTCCAGGACTTGGAGAAATAAAGAAAACAAGAACAATTAAAGCCTAGAAAGCTTAGGGATTGACCGAGAAGAGAGGCTTAAGGGTTTGGGGTTTTCTAGTGATTGTAATCATTACCATTTATTTCTTGGGCTTCTTTTGAGATTCAGTCTTTTCAGGGTTCCTTTTCTGCTCCCCCAGGTTCTCTTTAAGCAAAGTTTGTCATTCCTAATCTGATCACAATGGAAAGGTCAAGACAATGCTTATCTCAGTTAAAGTGAAGTTTGAAACTTAAATTGAAGGGGGTTAATCGTCTAAGGGAGCTTAGTATTAATTATAAAATGCTTTAACACCAAAAAAAAAAAAAATCCACGTTCTGGTTCAAGTAACAAACTAAAGTGAAACCTACATTCTACATTTTTTTTTTTTTAACCAATATGCTCTTCCTGGTCCCTGAGCTTACTCCTGCTGCTGTCTGTTCTTGTCATTCTTGTCATCCCATCATGTCTTTTTTTTTCCTACATATTTTTATTTCCTTGTTCCAACCCTTCTAGGGAGGATACCCTTGCTCTTAAAGAAGCGAGAAGAGGTAATGAAACAACACAGTTATGTGAAAGATTTCTGACCCTTGAGCACTATGTGATTGTTTTCAGTCGTCTTTGTTTGATTTTGTACTGGACATGACCCTGAAGTGGAATTGCCTTGGCCAAAGTTGAGGGTGGGTGGGAAGTAAACCTCAAAAAGCAAATATAACTGGGAGGACAAGTAACAGCTGGAACAGCCACCAAGGCCATCATCTGTGCCCTGAGTTGAGCCAAAGAGAATAAAATGTTAAATATCTCTGAGAACAAGAAATGGGAACTAGAATAGTATCTCTGATGTTTAGATCGACACATAGCCACTGTAGTCCCTTCCCCACAGTAGCAGAAACTTCTAAATATATTTCCTATCCCCACCCTGCCAGTATTCCAGCCATACTAGCCAAGTTCAACAATTCAGCATGCAAATGCCAAGGTTCCTCTAGAAGAGTCTGATCCCCAGGTTAATGGGAACCCTCTCTCTATCCTGTCCCTCCCCCCTCTCTCTGTGTGTGCCTGTGCCTGTGCGTATGCATGTGTGTGTGTGTGTGTGTGTGTGTGTGTGTGTGTGTGTGTGTATGTTTGTGTGTGTGAGAGAGAGTGAGTCAGTCAGTGTGCTCCAGATTATTATGAAGCCAAAGCCTAATCTTCTACAAAGCACAAGAAAAGGCTACTTTTTTTTTTTTTTTTTACACTGCTGCATAGTGATTAGTTCATCCCAGGGAAATAGTGGAAAGAATATAGAATATTTTCAGTACTAAAAAACAGTGGTTGTGAAAGAAATCTTACTTTAATTAGGCAACTGCCATGTCCTCAGTGCATGTCTTAGATATTTGTTACTTTTATGTGTCTAATGTTTGTTTTTAAGAAACTACAAAAGCAATTCCAATAAGTCAGATTATTCTAGCACTGACAGCAGGAACAGCTCCAAGGCAGTTATAATAACCTTGCACACTACTTGAAACTGAAAAAGGTGAAAAAAAATTTAAAGTCTTTGCTAGGAAATTAGGTCAACCCTATGCTCAGTAGAGTAATGCGTTAATTTCTGCTTATTGACAAGTAGGTGTTGCTAGGATCTTTTGTTATAGGCAGTGATTTAGTACTTTAATTTACATCATGGTGTCAGATAAAAGGGAAAGAGAGATTATTTGTGGTTTGTACACATACAGTGTGTGGGGGGGTGGTTAGGTTGAAGATTGCTCAAGAGGTGTATCTGATGCAAGGGTTTAGAATCTGTGGGACCAAAGTCAATAGTATGTTTCAAAGATTTGAGGAGGGTTTTCACGATTGTGTGTGTAGTCAGTGTTAGTGTACATAAAGTACCGTGGCCTATATTGAATATCATTGTTTTTAGGAAGGCTGAGCAAAGATGTACTCAATAACTTGTGAACAGATTTAAGAATATTCTGGAGTGTTTTCCTGCAGAGCTTATTTTTCTATAGTATCTGTATATTCCAGGTACATGTGAGTTGCCCATCTTGATAAAAGGCAGGAATTTCTGGATTTTAAAGACAGTCACAGAGTACAAAATGCAACTGTAGAATCCAAACAGATTACCTCTCCCTCCCTCAAATTAGTGTGTCCTTCAAGACAGAATATAGATAGATCTGAGCTAGGTAAATGTGTGCTTACCATTGTCTTCCTCTGTTTGAGGGAGGAGGTTTAGTGTGTATTACTCTAGGGCTTCAATTTCACCCTGGATACAAAATTCCCATATGGAGTGAAGTGAATATTTGGGTTCTTATCCCCAAATGTGATGTTCATTCAACTATGTTGCCAAGCATGTTAGTGCTAAATGGTGAAAAGATTATCTTTTGGATTCTGAGGAACAATCATACCCTTCGTTCTTCTTTCCACTTCCCTCGCTTAGTGCTGCTTTGCAGTTGAAGTGATACTAAGACTGCAAAGGTGAATCTGTGTTTCTAGTGACTTTGTATTGCTTGAAAAGGAAAAGATGTTTGTTGAAGTTGAGGAAGATAAAGGAAGGTTGATTTGGGGAATTATTTGAGAAGTTGTTTTAGCTATTTTATTCAAATACTCTGGAATCTTAGGGAATTATGATACTAGTAACAATCAAACAAATAAAGAAGGAGGGTGGCATGGGGGCTGGCAGTTTCTTCTGTCTTCTCACAATGGAAATTCCTATTTTGCTGAAGACTGGTGGATTGAAATATCATTTATAAGGCCGTTTTCATAATTTTTAACTTGCTCAATAACTGGCATTAAAAGACTAGGAACGTGGGTATGTTGATAAACACACACTTGCTTCTGTTTTGTTTTATTTATTTGTCTTTTGGACATAGGGCCTGGGGAACTACATCAAACTCCTGTTAGTGCTTTCTCTCTGTGGAATTCTGCTGGAAATTGCATGCACATTTCTCATTCCTTTAAGAATTCCATTTGCTACAAGTTTATTTCATTGCCCTGTTTCTCTTATATGAAATCAGTTTCAGATGGTTGCTTTACAGAGTGGTTGTGTGTCCCTGCCTGGTCAGATTAATCAGCTTAGCCAGACAGTTTCCTGCAGGTCTATTAAAGATGTCATCATCGACCCAATGTCCTGGAAATGGGACTTTGTGTGTCTAGTAATGGCCGTAGGTGTGGACATTTGCATCCTTTCCCCTGTTCTCTCGTTAGTGCTTACATCTATATGGGCTTTGGAAAGGGAAGAAGCTGGAATTCAGGATGGAGCCTTTATCTATGAATTAGGAGTCACAGTTACTTTTTGAGCTACAAATCACTGGAGATCAAGCATCACTTTTTTCGTGAATCTGCAAGCTGTAGCCTCCTTGTGCTGTGCATATAAAGTACCAGTCCCACCTACTCCTTCTCTACATCACAAACCAGCATGGTCATGGGCTTTCCCAAGCCTCCCTAAAGTGTCTGCCTCCTCCCTTGCTCTTCTTACTCCCAAGGACTTCCATGTCATTCTCTTACATTCTCTTAACTGAGAGCCCTGATTGTCACTCTTCAAATGTGAATTTTCTCTGCAGAAAGGGAAAACAGAAATGGACACATTTGGAAGGGAGTGAGAGCCATTCACAAGTGAACATTTTCTTGCAAATTGGTTCCAGTAGTCTCCACAGATCAATTACTGCGCTGTAAATCTCATAGGGAGGATGGTCTTTGAAGGTGTACTGTTTGGGAAATTTCTATATGTCTTTATGATATTTATGATTGTATTTATCGAACTACTTAAAGTGTTTCTCCTTTTGGCTTCTTTTAACCAAATCTGTGGTGAATATAGTTTTTGCTGTCTGGGAAGTATCATCCGTAAATTTCCATATCTCTATTGTAATGAATGGTAATGTGGGGACAGCATGGCAGCAATTGGCTGTATTTAGATATGTCAGTTCTCAATGTCAGTTTTTTATTTGCCTCTTTACCAGGTGAGTACATATGCCTCAAATTACACCACCTCTGGGCTATAAAGCCCAAAGTTCAAAACCTATAGTGAGTTCATTTTACATTATTGCTTCCCCAAACACCTTTATTTGTGTGGATCTTCTGTATTTGCTGGCCCCCTGAGAGGCCCAACTTGAAGTTCGTTCTTCCCTTACTGCCCCCCCACTTTTCCTATGAAAAGATTACAAATAGGCTCAGCATATGAATGCTGAAATATTGCTCCAAGCTGCATTTTATTCTCCCAAAGCTCACCATGTAATCTCTGAAAGCAGGAAATATGATGCTATGGTGATTCATGTAGATTGGCCAAAGTAAGGTAACGTATATGCAGTTATCTCTCCTGGGTTTGTTCATGCAATTGAATGAGGAACAAAGGTGTTTTGTTCCTTTTGTGGCAGGAGCTGATAGCAGGCAACCACACTTTAAGAAATGGAGAAGTGTGAATGCTTCATTCAGGTCTAAGTAAATTTGGGGAAAAGGGAGGTAGTCTATAGAGTACTGGGTTTAAATACATTCTAAAAGTAATGGGAAGAAGGAAGACTGATAGGATGTATTAGCTGGGTGCTGGATATGCCTTAAGCTGAAATGGAATACAAGTGTCACCAATATGAGGTTGGACCGTGGAAGAGAAAGAGTAATGTAACACAGACCAAGGAAACAAATGAGAAATTAGGTTATTTGTAATCATGAACGGGTCAGAGCTAAATGACAACTGTCATTTTCCTTTCTGCTATGTTTCACAGTGGAGAAGTGAGGCAATTGTGACCAATTATATTACAAGGTCAATGTCAAATTTGTCAAAAACAGTAGTGTATTCAATGTGTGGGTGTGAAAAAGAAACAAATTCTAGAACTAATCATGTTAGTATTGCTCTTTCCCTTTAAAAACAAAGGAGCTTTTCTGCATGCAAGATAGTTTGAAGTACTCTATGGAAATCCTTGGAAGTAGCAATGTGAAGTAAAACCGTTTGTCTTCATTTGCTATTGCACACTGTAGACTCTAAAGTCTCTCTTTATCTTTTGTGTTTTAGCCACGAGACACAAACAACTTGTTGGGACCATCCCAAAATGACAGAGCTCTACCAGTCTTTAGGTAAGGACATAGCCATATTTCCTTCAGGCTAAATGTCAAGTTACTTTAAGTGTAATTCATAGTATGCAAGCCATTTTTTTTTTTTTTTTTTTTTTTTTTGTAAATGTGTCGGAAGATTGCTTTGGTGTTAGACAGCTGCAGTATTCTAATCACAGTTGTCAAACAGACATTCTCATTTTCAAAAATCACTTTACCTTATCACTGATTCTTTAAAATTCAATATACCTGAAGGTCAATAATAGTTGTATTTGCTGCTTACGACAATGGAAAACCTCTTGCAATTTATTGTAATTTTTGCCGTAAAGAAAACTGTTTCAAGTTACTTCTGTTGATTTCTTCTGTGTGAAACCCAAGTGACAACTTTTGCTAAAGTGCGAATATTGTATAAAGTGATTTTCTGCCCCCTTTCCAGTGCTCACAACCCCTATGGCTTATCAGATAATCATTGCAATCATTTTAATGACTCTTCTGTGTTGTTGAGTGTTTAGGTGAAAGCCTGACAGGTTTTTAACCCTTCATACTTTGGATTTTTAAAAAACTTTTCATTAATTTTTATTTTGTATGTATGGGCCTTTTGCCTGAATGTATCTTTGTACACCATGTGTGTGCATGTTACTTGAGCAGGCCAGAAGACGGTGTCTGAGCCTCTGGAACTGGACTGACAGACATTTGTGTGCCACCTTGTGGGTGCTGGGAATCAAAACAGGGTCCTCTGAAGGAGCAATCATTACTCTTAAATGCTGAGCCATCACTCAAGCCCTAGTTTAGAAAGTTTTGACCACATATACAACATAAAAATATGGAAATGATATTAGTCTCTAGTACTTGATTGTTAAGTTTATTTATTTATTTTGTAGGGATTAATCTGAAATGAATTCTCTGATAAGGCTAGATTTTTAGTTACTATTTTGTTTTACAACATACATTCTTTACACTTAGGTCTGCTTTTATTTGAAATTATAAGCTGATAATGATTAAGACTTAAAATTAATGTGGTCACTGGGTATGGTAGTTGGTGTACACCTTTAATTCCAGCACTTGAAAGGCAGAAGCTGGTAGGTATCTGTGAGTGGGAGGTCAGCCTGGTATATACAGCACATTGTCTTAGTAAACAAAACAAGGAAACAAACAAACAAAAAACCCCAAAGTACAAATTATGAATTGTCTACCGTAATTCTCATTGGATGATGAATTGCAGGTCTAGAGGCATTAAGGAATACACAAAGAATCATTAGCCACAAAATAAAACGACAAAACAACCTTTTGAAAAGCATTTTACTGTACTCGGTGAAACACACATTTTAAGCCTGGCACTCTGAGGCAGGCAGATCTCTGAAGCCTACATGGTCAACATAGTGAGATTCAGGCCAGTCAGAACTACTTAGTGGACCCAATCTCAAAAACAAAAAAAAATATTTTTTAAAAATATATAAGTGATAAATATTTCTTCCAGAAAGTCTGAAAAATGAAAGGAAAAACTCATGAGTAGAAAAAAAATGTCAACTGTAATTCTACTATCCAGAGAGATCCAAAACATTTTAAGTAATATTATGTCATTTCAGTGTATCTATGTGTATAAATTAAAATTAAATAAATAAAATTAAGATCAGTTCATTTTTATGTACTATATTTACAGGCCCATAGATGATTTCAAATTATAATGCTGGATTATTTGTACCACATGTAGAAAACTTGAATGTCACATGTAGCTTATAAAACCCACTCATAACTCTACTTGAGTTATCATGCTCTTTAGTTGTAATATTGTAATTTACTTGGAAAACTCAATTATAGAATTAACATATTAACCTTTTATAGTTTAAAAATAGGGATAAGCTTTAAAAAAAACCCAAATAATTTATTAATTACTTCTTAGAATTAGGTAATGTTTAGTAGTAGTGTTTAGTAAGCTAGCTTTAAAAAGTTCAAAACAGGTTTATTAGACTGGACATATAGCTTAGTGGTAGGCTACATATTATCTATGAAGCCTTTGGTTTGATTCCTACCACCCCATACAAATATATACATACTTCTCTATTTTTTTATGAGTCATTTAGTATTAAAGACCTACTTTTGTGGTAAAAGTAACATATTGTGACCATATAGCTATGTGATTATATATTATTTTCTATCACTTTTATTCTGTAATAAGACATTACAAACAGGATGGACTGATACAGATATAATATAAATATAGATACATTTATATATTTATATGACTAAGATAGGTAAAATATAACTATAACAAAATTTCATATAAATTTTATATAGATGTTTTCATCTTCTATAAGAACTACATATACATGTAATATACATATAATCATATCTCAATGTTTTCTCAGTAGTTTGAATAGTTAATAAATCCGTATTCATATTTGGTATAGCTTTGGAAAGCAATGGCATTTCATAGCTGCAGGAGATTTTACAGTTTATGTATTGTAAAGTTTCTCTTTTATTAAATCAACTTTATTGAGGTATGATTTGCATATAATAAAATGCAGCTATGTAACTCTGTATTTAATTCTAAATCCATGTGAATCTGTTTATTTTTTTTTTCAAGTCAAATAACAAACATCTTACAAATGAACTAAGTGTTGACTTTTGTTTTTCAGCTTTTAGAGCTAGTATTGCAAGATTTTTTTTGCAATCAACTATTTCTTTATCTGAATGATTGCTCAACAAATAACGCCTTCCATTTATATCTATTCGATATTTCTTAAAACACTGAATTCATGTTCAGAGAGGCATTTACCAGGAGTGCACAAACATTTGAGGATATGTTAGCAATTGACCAAGGTGTTATGTTAGTAAATTCCTGATCTTATTGTTATTATCCTCTCAGTAAAGTATGGCCATATTGGTTAGTGCATACCTGTTATAAATATATACACATGTACAGTTATACCTAAGGATAGATTACATGAATAACAGTTTTTGAACAAATTATTGTGGTTCTGAAAATTATATGATAAATTCCTAGACTACAGGTATTACTTTTACTCATAGAGTCATCAATTTAGATTGCTATGCCTTCAGCACTAGTGGTGTCTTATGTAATTAATGCCAACATTCCTCCTCCCAGATTATAATGTTCTGTCTTTGAAATATAAGCAGAACACACTGAAAAGAAGTCTTTGGTTTTAACTTTTATTTATTGGCTTATATTTTTTTCCTTCTTCAGGAGCTATCCCTTAAGTTCAAAGATATTGCCTTGAACAACATAAAATGGCTCAAAGTATTCAGATATACTCGGTTCCTGAAAGGATAAGAGTTTTGTAGTCTGGCATGTCACATGTTTTAAACCACACCTAGCCTTCTTTCCTGATAGAGCCTGAACTTCATGTCTGTCGTGACATACTGAAAATGACAAGACTGCCTTTACCCTCTCTGCCCCCTCATTCCAAATATCTTAACAGTGTTTCACTATACATGCACAGTGTTACATGTTCCTAAATGAACCCACCTTTGAGGGAGTTTCCATTTTCTAATTTGTCCAGAACCCCAAGCAGGTTCAACATACATTTATGTATTTTGTATCATCGTCAAGAGTTTGATTATTACCCCTACTTTAGATCTAAGCAGCATGGTAGCAGAAGTCAAACACATTTATAAGGGCTACAGACTAGCACATGGGCATTAAATGATGAAAGCTAAAATGTTACTTGAGATATTAATATTAGACACCTCTAGTCAGTATTTAAAGAGATTTTCTTTTTTATTTTCTTCCTGATTTTCTACAATGAACATGCATTATTTAGGCAGTGATCAAAAAATGTTTCAGCGTGTATGTCTCCATCTACTTCTATCATGTCCCTTTAGCTACAATTCCATAGGCAATGACAATCCATAATAGAAAAACAGAAGTAGCTCTTCATGTATACACATATGTACACACAACACGTTCAATATATACACACACACAACACATAGAAATACCATACATATTTACATGTAGGTAATTTATTTTTAAATATTCTAATTCTTAAAAAATTAGTCAACTAAATAAGCTTAAATAGATTGCATCATATATTTTAGGCTATAAATATATCCAATCACACACACTCACAAATGCATACTTAAATATTTTAACAATGACATGATGCAGATAAGCAACCAAGTACTTATTTACCTACCATATTTGAGGAGCTGTATTCTACCCTGAGTAAATGCTTGTACACATGCTTTAGCACCCCTACACATGTGTACACATACAGGCATGCGCGTGCTAAAAACTAAACATATGGTTAACATTATTTGTGATGTATTGGAAATTTTACCAGGGGCCTTGTACACACTAGGAAATCACTAGGGAATTACTCTACCATTGAGTTATATTCTTATCCCCTCCCAGGAGTAGTTTCCTTTAATTGATGATTACCCAGATTAGTAATAGACAAATATTAGAAAATATTAATGATGATATTGTAATATAAAAATGCAAAGGCTCTCATATCTGCTTCATTTTGAGGCAGTATCTTCATCATGGTTTCTTATAAATAGTTGTATTTTTCATCCATGAAGTGAAGTTCATTTTTCTATCATCATTCTATCAAATGTAATGGAATGACTGTTATAAAGCTCTGTGTGACTCCCAAACACATTTACAAATCAGTAGGTGTTCACTGGTTATATACTCTGCAGTTTATTTTGAAATACTAATATAGCATATATATATATATATATATTATAATTAAATGATTAAAAATTGTCCTTTTCTCAAAGTTGGCATTTCACTTAAATTCCTCACTGAAATTTTAAGAAAGTATTTAAAAGTTTCCTCTTCCTGCATACTATTTGTCACTTAAAAATGCATTAACAATCCAAGTGTGGTGGCACACACTTTTAATTACAGAATGTAGGAGGCAGAGGCACATGGGTCTTTGAATTCGAGGCCTGTCTGGTCTTCAGAGCAAGTTCCAGGGCAGACAGAGCTACACAGAGAAACCCTGTCTTGAAAAACCAAGAAAGTATATCCTAGCCAACCTTGTTTGCAGTGCTTT